AATTCAGGTTGAGTAATGAGTCGTGCAGTGTAACTGAAGTCAGAGGAACTCGGTGGTCCAGCAGCGTCTCAGCAGCAGATCAGAGTGAAACATCTCGACAGACACTTTCTCTACCTTCAAACCTCAGACTGCTGCTGCTTCTTCTTCTTCTTCTTCTTCTTCTTCATCATCTACAAATCTACCAATCTGTTACTGGGGGGGGGGGAGGGGGAGGGGTACTCTGCCAGAAGCCGGGTTTGCATCATTCAAGTTTTAATCTGATGAAGTCAGTCAGAGCTCACCATAGTTCTGAGCTCCCGGAAAACCTGACGGCTTACAACAAATCCTGAGCGGGACAAAACCCTTCCTGTTCCTGTGTTAGCCTACAAGCCAAAACAGAGGGCACAGTTAACCAGGAGAAAGAGGAGGACCAGGGACCACTGCAGGCGCCCCACCTGCACACATCACAGGGGGGCAGAGCATGGAGGGACAGGTCGTCATACACCTGGTTAAGTATATCATCAGCAAACCAGATGGGAAGTGTTTGATGTACCTTACATGATGGCACATTCACAAACACAGAACATTTAGACCACATCGGCTGTACAGAGGAAGACCACTATGTGAGGTGTGCTCTGTACTGAGGAAGACCACTATGTGAGGTGTGCTCTGTACTGAGGAAGACCACTATGTGAGGTGTCCTGTAGGGTCCACTATGTGAGGTGTCCTGTAGGGTCCACTATGTGAGGTGTCCTGTAGGGTCCACTATGTGAGGTGTCCTGTAGGGTCCACTATGTGAGGTGTCCTGTAGGGTCCACTATGTGAGGTGTCCTGTAGGGTCCACTATGTGAGGTGTCCTGTAGGGTCCACTATGGTCAGTCTACCAGTTTTCCTTGTAAACGTTGTTTAATCAGAAAATGTTTTTGTTGCAGTACCACAAGTGGCCACAGTGAGCAGCAGCACTTCACAGGAAACATGAATCCATTGGATTTAGAATATAGCAGAAATAAAAGAGAAAACATTTTGAATATTCAGTTTGATGTAAAACCTTAAACATGTCAGAACTATTCTTTAAACTGTGAAACTGGAAAGTTTAGTGCTAACATGCTAAGCTGCCAGAGGCACTAGCCCCTCCCAGTGTGTTGGCACTAGCCCCTCCCAGTGTGTTGGCACTAGCCCCTCCCAGTGTGTTGGCACTAGCCCCTCCCAGTGTGTTGGCACTAGCCCCTCCCAGTGTGTTGGCACTAGCCTCTCCCAGTGTCTTGGCACTAGCCCCTCCCAGTGTGTTGGCACTAGCCCCTCCCAGTGTGTTGGCACTAGCCCCTCCCAGTGTGTTGGCACTAGCCTCTCCCAGTGTCTTGGCACTAGCCCCTCCCAGTGTGTTGGCACTAGCCCCTCCCAGTGTGTTGGCACTAGCCCCTCCCAGTGTGTTGGCACTAGCCCCTCCCAGTGTGTTGGCACTAGCCCCTCCCAGTGTGTTGGCACTAGCCCCTCCCAGTGTGTTGGCACTAGCCCCTCCCAGTGTGTTGGCACTAGCCCCTCCCAGTCTGTTGGCACTAGCCCCTCCCAGTGTGTCTTTTCTCTGTGCTCACACTTTAACTGATGTTTGATTAGAAAAAGAGGAAGTGAAGAATCTGTATATTTAACCTTTGTGACGTCATCACGTTTATATATCTGTCAAAATAATCTCAAATAATTCATCAATGTTTCAGCAGCACACTTCCGCCCCCCCCCTCCCCTCCCCCCCTCTCTGCATCACCCATATTGAATCCTCTCTGCAGTGCACAGTCATGGGTCCTCGGTGCGCATGCGCACCATCGCATCCTGCCGATCAATAAATCTGGCCCGGACTGACCCGGGTTATGAATTAGAGATGATCCGGATCAGTCTGGGTCCTAATGAAGACATTCTGTTCAAAACGCATCACTGCGACACACACACACACACACACACACACACACACACACACACACACACACACACACACACACACACACACACACACACACACACACACACACACACACACACACACACACACACACACACTACCTGGCGCACCGTCCGCTCCTTTTCCGCCTTTTGGTTATCTTCATCTGGGATTTTATTCCGGCACAAACCGTCCTGGTCCAGAAAACCCACCGTTCCTGTGAGGGGGGGCCGGGGTTCGGGCCTCACACTCCCGCAGGACTAAACCACCATTAAGTCCTCTAACAGTCCTCTGTACCGAACCCGACCGTGTCCTCCTCCTCCGGTACCAAATGACCGGAACCAACCGAGTCCAGAAAGACGAACAAATCCGATTTGAATCCCCCTCAGAGTCCGCGATGCTGTCCGGGTCCGGGTCCTCCTTCGGGTCTCTGCAGGTAAGGATGCAGGTCTAGATTAGTCCTCCTCCTGCTGAACCGGGTCCAGGGATGTAACCCGGGACAGAACAGATCCAGAGACCCGGTTGAGGCTGGCGGTCTGTGGGTGTCAGGTTCTCCGCTCCTGTTTGTCCGCACTGCAGCTCCGCATCCAGCTGCGTCAAACCCGCGTCATCACGCACAATCACAACATCCGGCCTTCAAAATAAAACGTCATCTGATGCCCAGCAAGGAAGTCGTTTATTTTACTTTGTTCATTTCTGAGAGTTTTTCCTGAGCTGCCAAAACAATCCTGTATTTGTGAACTTCAGATGAGAGTAGAGTCCTGCACACATAAAGGACCCGAGGGGGGAAAGAACCAATTGGACCACAGCTTCTCTCTCTCTATGATAGGACTAAAGATTATTATTGTTATTATTATTATTATTTATTTTAATAAAACATCAGAGATCATATGTTTTAAAACCAAAATATCAAATTAATGGATTTTATTTAAACTATTCAACCTCGTTTATTTTAAAGATGAATATTATCCAAACGTGCAGACGCTTTACAGAAACATCTTTAGTCATATCTGACAGGTGTTCACCAAATTGCAGAAATCTTTGGCAACGTTTCTGTAAAGTTGCAAATGCAATGACCAATCAGGGTTTCTAGCACGTAAGTGTAAAAAAAAGGTAGAACACCTCTGAATATAAAGGATATTTCTGACGATCATAGTAGAAGGTAAAATAATCAACAATGTGAGAAAATTAGATTTTTTAACCTTTTAAAGCACCTTGGTGACAGAAGAATCCACTTTATTAAAGAACGCCAACCTTATAAAACATGGATGCGGTCTTGGTTTCCTGAAGAGGCGGTTTGAACCCTAACAAACAATGATGACCTCGTCTTTGGAAATGTCGACTCTACCGACCTCTTTCTAACTTTTTGTCAATCTAGAAAACAGACAAAGAGCGTTGACCTCTCAGTCAGATCATCAAACTTCTTATTCATCTAATAAATGCAGAACTTTAAGACTTTTCATCTCTAGCACTTTATAAAGGTTTCTTTGCACTGCCTGAATTTCTCTGTACTTGTACAATGACAAATAAAGTTATTCTATTCTATATCAAATTTCCCCCACACCTCTTTTTTTTATTTTTTCAAAAAAATAAACGAGCTATATGGACAAGAACATTTTTATTTGTGCTGTAAAATGTACATTTTAACATAGGGCTCTATGGGGATTAACTCACTTTATGAAACAGCCTCCAGTGGACACTGGGAGAACTTCAGTTTCTTGTCCTTTTGCACTGGCTTTGTTTTCCTGTACAGGTTGGACAGTGGAGGTCACTAAATGACCTGAAATACATTTCTGTTAGGGTTAGGGGGACATTTAAAGAAAATCATGACAATACATCTTATTTATCTGAGGATATTTAATAACCGTATAAACCTGAAACACACCACCATGGAGTCTTCTGACTTCATTCAGTCTTTATTTTGACTGGATGCTTTAATCGAGCCACAGCAGGCTTTCTTTAACACGGTGAGTGTGGCCTCGGAGGCTCTACTGTCACACACACACACACACACACACACACACACACAAACAGCTCGTCGCCTACGTTTCGGCTCTTTTCACGCTTTTTGCGGTTGCTTCGTTTCGTTTTCGCGGTTCTGATGTTTGTTTGTTGTTTTCTTACCTGAATGTTGTTTTCCGACCTGAGCCGAGCAGCAGCATCCTCCACTCCCTCTGCTCCATCGCTCCAGCATCAGCACCACACACACACACACACACACACACACACACACACACACACACACACACACACACACACACACACACACACACACACACACACACACACACACACACACACACACACACACACACACACACACACACTCTTCCTCTCTATGTCTCCATCTCAAAGCTGCAGTTCTTGAGCGCCCCCCGCTGGCCGGGAGTCTGTTCAAGCTGTACGACCGAGCCACTCCTAAATCTCTGTGCTTTATTTATTTTTTTATATTTTAATTTTTTTTAATTCTATTTTATTGTAATATCTTCTTATTCTGTATTATTTAAGTTGTTGCTAGTTCTGCTTTATTTCCTTCTTAACTGTTTAGCACCAATACACCAAGTCAAATTCCTTTATGTGTAAACGTACCTGGAAATAAACCCAGATTCTGATTCTGATTTAGTAGTTCAGCAGTTACATCATTATGCTGTGTTAACTCAGTGTTAGGAGATCTAAAGGCAGTAAAACTTCCTACTGTTCTTAATTTACAATGTTTGAAAAACGAACTTGTATACACTGAAAGAGAGCTGGAACCCTTCTTCAATCATTTCTGCTAAAAAAAAATGAAAAGAAAGGAAATCGAGCTAAGCTATGGTTAGTTTTTCAAATGTTTTATTGTTTTCAAAAAACCATAGACTTTCAATGTAAGTGGTCTATTTTTGGAAGGATATGAATTGTGTGTGAAATAACTCTGTCTTGTACATTATTCTCTACGTAGTAGATGTCTATTGTAAAGACAATTTACAGTCGCTTTGACCTTCATTTTAAGACAACCTGAGAGCTCACTGTAGTCTTATTATTCTTTGAAATAAGATCATGGAATGAGACAAATCTCACTCAGGGCTCACTGTGACACAAAACATTCATGTCCTGTCTTTGAGACCAGGAGGTAAGAGTGATTTTAATAGAGCAGATTTACAGCGTTTATATAAACCTGAAACACAGCAGCAGTGTGACATTACAACTCTCAGAGATGACACGTGCAAATAATCTTTATGTGAAAAATACTGATTTTCTGTTTCAACACAGAGCAACTGGACAGAAATATAAAAATATAACACTAGATATGACTGTTGACACACTGCACTGGATTAACATCCGATTTGAGATGAGTATAAAAATGTACATAAAAGATAGAATCTGGTTCCCTTTATATATATTTTACATTAAAGTCTACACAGAGCTGAACGTGGGGTTGGCAAAGTTTCTGTTGTTCTGAGCTTCAGGGTCGTCCGTCTCAGCGAAGTCTTCAGGGTCGAGATCAGCCTCAAACATCCGCTGCAGCAGAGCGTCCACCGTCCGATATCCTTACAGGAAACACAATCACTGATTATCAATACTGAGATCAACAGAGAACAAATTTATAAGTTCATCCATTTAAACATATTCTGAAATCCCAAAAGACTTGGCATTATTGATAATAAAATAATATAGCGCTATGGGTAATGAGGAAGAATTGTGCTGCACTTTTTCTATCTCAGTCCTTTGACACTTAAGATCGCTGTGTTCTGTGTTTGGCTAACATAAAGTTATCTATAAAAAACAATAAATGTTTGAACTCTAACTCAACGGAAGAAAGCAAAACATCCAATTTGATCTGATATGTTTTAGCTTAAAAATACAAAGTGGTGGGGAGTTGGTGGCGCAGTGGTTAGTGTGCGTGCCCCATGTATGGAGGCTGTAGTCCTCAACGCGGGCGGCACAGGTTCAAATCCGGCCTGTGGCTCATTTCCCGCATGTCATTCCCCACTCTCTCACTCCCTAATTTCCGACTTTGTCCACTGTCCTAGCTCTCAATTAAAAAAAGGCCCAAAAAGCCCAAAAACAAATCTTAAAAAAAAAAAAATACAAAGTGGTGTTCCACAAGGCTCCATATTGGATCCTCTGGGCCTGATCCCTGCTGTTATAGCTGCCCTGAACTAAAAGCCGCAAAAGGACTGTGTTTTTTGCATGTTCTTTGGTGGGAATTGTCTGTTGGACAGAAATCCCACTGTGGAAAGGAATTTCCCCATGGGGACAATAAAGTCTTAAGTCTTACTTTTGATCACGAGTGTTTACTACAAGTTACACACCAATGGATGAATGAATAACGTGTTCTAAGTTATTTTCTTTATCTGACAAAAGATGTAACAATTCTTCCTTGTTTCTTTTCAAAATAAAAGCAACAAAAGTAGTATTTCCTTTTCTCCGTCTTGATTTTCTGATAACCTCCGCCTTCAAGTTCTGTTTCTTACGTCTTGAAGCGATTTTAAACATCAGGGTGGGTTTGGTGTTTGCAGATTGGCCAGTTCCCAGGTCGTTGTCACAGGTTTCCATGGCGTTGACCAAATTATCCTCTAACCTCTCCCTGGCGGCCAAAAACAACAAGGACATGTTTGTGGAGGGGAGTTTATACACTTTGTTAAGCTGGTTCAAAAGCACATCATAGAATTAAGATCAAATTTTTTGAGCTGATGAAAACTGATCTCCGGTGAGCGACCACGGGAGATGTTTGATTCTTCATCAAGGCCCTGGTTAGGACTCACTCTGCCACAGCGAGCTCCAGTTCCTTGATTTTCTTCTCCAGAGAAGTCTGCAGGTCGCTCTTCTCCACCGAGTACTCCACGAAGAATGCCTCCAGGACAAACGCTACAAAGATGCTGGAAGACAAACAGGAAATTATGCTTCACAACTTAATTACCAATCCATCAGCTACCTGAGTCTGAGAAATGAAACCAATGTGGAAGAGCCAAAAACTGCAGTTCCTCAACTGTCCACTAGAGTCTGTCTCTTGCAGTGAGTCAGTCCCCATAGAGCCCCATGTTAAAATGTCTAACTTTACAGCTGCAGTTCCTCCAGTGTCCACTAGAGTCTGTCTCCTGCAGTGAGTCAGTCCCCATAGAGCTCCATGTTAAAATGTCTAACTTTACAGCTGCAGTTCCTCCAGTGTCCACTAGAGTCTGTCTCCTGCAGTGAGTCAGTCCCCATAGAGCTCCATGTTAAAATGTCTAACTTTACAGCTGCAGTTCCTCCAGTGTCCACTAGAGTCTGTCTCCTGCAGTGAGTCAGTCTCCATAGAGCCCCATGTTAAAATGTCTAACTTTACAGCTGCAGTTCCTCCAGTGTCCACTAGAGTCTGTCTCCTGCAGTGAGTCAGTCCCCATAGAGCCCCATGTTAAAATGTCCAACTTTACAGCTGCAGTTCCTCCAGTGTCCACTAGAGTCTGTCTCCTGCAGTGAGTCAGTCTCCATAGAGCCCCATGTTAAAATGTCTAACTTTACAGCTGCAGTTCCTCCAGTGTCCACTAGAGTCTGTCTCCTGCAGTGAGTCAGTCCTCATAGAGCTCTATGTTAAAATGTCTAACTTTACAGCTGCAGTTCCTCCAGTGTCCACTAGAGTCTGTCTCCTGCAGTGAGTCAGTCCTCATAGAGCTCTATGTTAAAATGTCCAACTTTACAGCTGCAGTTCCTCCAGTGTCCACTAGAGTCTGTCTCCTGCAGTGAGTCAGTCCCCATAAAGCCCCATCTTTAAATATCCAACTTTACAACAGACATTAACATGTTTACAGCCTGGTACCAAAAACATTTTATTATTTTACAGTACCTGAATCTTTTTAAAGCAGGCAAAATGAAAGTTATTTCAAATAAAAGCTTATCAACAGACACAGAAGGTACAACTGAGGGTTTTTACTCTAACGCAAACACCCTGTCCAGTTACAAAGTATAATACAACATTAACAGCAATAGGATATAGCACGCATACATATAAAGTCTCTTAATCAGGACTGTTAGTCTTACTTGATGATGACGATGACGACCATGATGTGAAAGAAGATGAAGAAGATGCGGGCTGACACGTGGGTGACGGTGGTGAAGCCGCTGCTGAGCAGTAAAGACAAGTTAAGGAATCATAGAAACAAAACCATGAATCTGTTGGATGAAAATAATCGTTCATAAATGTTAGAGTATCTGTGAGGAGGATAACCAGACGCAATTCAATCAAACTAGCCAAAGATGGCGGAACCTGTTTCTTTACAACCTTTGCTGGAACATCTTTTACTAAAATTAATTATCTAAAAACTTCATCCATCAAATGTGTAAATCAACCAGACTGAAATGTAGCATTCCTTGAAAGTTTGAGATTACCACCATCTCCCTTTGACTCCACAAGATTAAGATTAAGATTTACTTTTATTGATCCTTGCAAGGGGACACACATGCAGAAACAGGATCCTATGGATATGTACTAATGGAGAGAAGCCAGGGTGACGGAGCGGCCCACAGCGGGCCTCCCTGATGGTGGGGAGGGGGTTTGGTGCCTTGCTCAGGAGGTGTTCTGACACCGCTCCAGCTACCAGACCAACTTCCATATTTAGTCTGCATGGGACTTGAACTGGTGACCCTCTGGTTTCCAACCCAGGTCCCTACAGACTGAGCTACTGCCGCCCAATAAATAAAAACAATTTCAACCAAACTCTTAAAAAGTGGATCTGGAAGAAATTACCAAATTACCTTTAAAGGAAGAATGTATGATGTTTTGATCCAGCAGATGTCGCCCTTGAGCGCCAGCATGAAACCAAAACAACTTTGGCTGCATTGTTGTGTTAGCATGCTATGCTAGCGCTCTTTATTTTGCTTGTAGCTTCACACTGCATGTAAATTTACACAAAATGATTAATCTTTCGTTTTTGTTTTTTGTGTTTATATTTGTTTTTATCTCTGTCCTTTGGTTAAGTTATGACGTGACATTCAAATAATCAGTGAGTACAGCATGTTATTCTTCTTTTCTCTAGTCCCTCAATTAAACAACTTTCATATGCAAAGGAGCTGGCCGGCCGTCTCATCAATATAAAGAGGCTGTAGATACAGCTCAGATATCATCACAGACAACAGGACTCAGTGTCAAACTCATTGTAGACAGTCATGACTCACAGTTATTTTCAGAGGATAGATTTGATTTCTGCTGTATCTAAGAGTGAAAAATCACATATTCTTCCTTTAAGGACCTGCAAGGCATCAAGCTAAAGGATATCATGCCACTGGTTGACCACAGTGAGCTCCACCAGCAGGATGAAGGAGGACACCACGCTGTTGAAGTTGTTCTTGCAGTAGTTGAGATGTGCGAAGGGCGTTCCTTTCAGCAGAGGGTTTCCACAGTATTCACTGGCCGGGTCACTGGTGTCCTCATAATACTTCACCTTCCCTTTGAACAGCTCCATCCCCACCATGGCAAAGATGTAGTACACCACCTGAGGGGGAGGAGCTAGATTCAGTATATGGATGCTAACTCTGCTAACGTGGCTTTACAGTACAGTTAGTCCACCAACTATTGTAATGAAATGTGATGGCGGCCATTGACTCTTTATAAGACGTAGATGTTGATATGTAGACTTCACCCATGATTTTTTTTTTTTTTTTTTTTTTTTTTTAAAGATTTATTTTGGGCAGTGGATAGAGTCAGAAACCAGAGAGAGAGAGGACAGTGGATAGAGTCAGAAACCAGAGAGAGAGAGGACAGTGGATAGAGTCAGAAACCAGAGAGAGAGAGGACAGTGGATAGAGTCAGAAACCAGAGAGAGAGAGGACAGTGGATAGAGTCAGAAACCAGAGAGAGAGAGGACAGTGGATAGAGTCAGAAACCAGAGAGAGAGAGGACAGTGGATAGAGTCTGAAACCAGAGAGAGAGGACAGTGGATAGAGTCAGAAACCAGAGAGAGAGAGGACAGTGGATAGAGTCAGAAACCAGAGAGAGAGAGGACAGTGGATAGAGTCAGAAACCAGAGAGAGAGAGGACAGTGGATAGAGTCTGAAACCAGAGAGAGAGAGAGGACAGTGGATAGAGTCGGAAACCAGGGAGAGAGAGGACAGTGGATAGAGTCAGAAACCAGAGAGAGAGAGGACAGTGGATAGAGTCAGAAACCAGAGAGAGAGAGGACAGTGGATAGAGTCAGAAACCAGAGAGAGAGAGGACAGTGGATAGAGTCTGAAACCAGAGAGAGAGAGGACAGTGGATAGAGTCGGAAACCAGGGAGAGAGAGGACAGTGGATAGAGTCAGAAACCAGAGAGAGAGAGGACAGTGGATAGAGTCTGAAACCAGAGAGAGAGAGAGGACAGTGGATAGAGTCGGAAACCAGGAGAGAGAGGACAGTGGATAGAGTCGGAAACCAGAGAGAGAGAGAGGACAGTGGATAGAGTCTGAAACCAGGAGAGAGAGGACAGTGGATAGAGTCAGAAACCAGAGAGAGAGGACAGTGGATAGAGTCTGAAACCAGGAGAGAGAGGACAGTGGATAGAGTCTGAAACCAGAGAGAGAGAGAGGACAGTGGATAGAGTCTGAAACCAGAGAGAGAGAGGACAGTGGATAGAGTCAGAAACCAGAGAGAGAGGACAGTGGATAGAGTCTGAAACCAGGGAGAGAGAGGACAGTGGATAGAGTCTGAAACCAGAGAGAGAGAGGACAGTGGATAGAGTCTGAAACCAGAGAGAGAGAGGACAGTGGATAGAGTCAGAAACCAGAGAGAGAGAGGACAGTGGATAGAGTCTGAAACCAGAGAGAGAGAGAGACAGTGGATAGAGTCGAAACCAGAGAGAGAGAGAGGACAGTGGATAGAGTCTGAAACCAGAGAGAGAGAGAGGACAGTGGATAGAGTCAGAAACCAGAGAGAGAGAGAGGACAGTGGATAGAGTCTGAAACCAGAGAGAGAGAGAGGACAGTGGATAGAGTCAGAAACCAGAGAGAGAGAGAGGACAGTGGATAGAGTCTGAAACCAGAGAGAGAGAGAGGACAGTGGATAGAGTCGAAACCAGAGAGAGAGAGAGGACAGTGGATAGAGTCAGAAACCAGAGAGAGAGAGAGGACAGTGGATAGAGTCAGAAACCAGAGAGAGAGAGAGGACAGTGGATAGAGTCTGAAACCAGAGAGAGAGAGAGGACAGTGGATAGAGTCAGAAACCAGAGAGAGAGAGAGGACAGTGGATAGAGTCTGAAACCAGAGAGAGAGAGAGAGGACAGTGGATAGAGTCTGAAACCAGAGAGAGAGAGGACAGTGGATAGAGTCTGAAACCAGAGAGAGAGAGAGGACAGTGGATAGAGTCAGAAACCAGAGAGAGAGAGAGGACAGTGGATAGAGTCAGAAACCAGAGAGAGAGGACAGTGGATAGAGTCTGAAACCAGAGAGAGAGAGGACAGTGGATAGAGTCGGAAACCAGAGAGAGAGAGGACAGTGGATAGAGTCTGAAACCAGAGAGAGAGAGGACAGTGGATAGAGTCAGAAACCAGAGAGAGAGGACAGTGGATAGAGTCAGAAACCAGGGAGAGAGAGAGGACAGTGGATAGAGTCTGAAACCAGAGAGAGAGAGGACAGTGGATAGAGTCAGAAACCAGAGAGAGAGGACAGTGGATAGAGTCAGAAACCAGAGAGAGAGAGAGAGAGACAGTGGATAGAGTCAGAAACCAGAGAGAGAGAGAGGACAGTGGATAGAGTCAGAAACCAGAGAGAGAGAGGACAGTGGATAGAGTCTGAAACCAGAGAGAGAGAGGACAGTGGATAGAGTCTGAAACCAGAGAGAGAGAGAGAGGGACAGTGGATAGAGTCAGAAACCAGAGAGAGAGAGAGGACAGTGGATAGAGTCTGAAACCAGAGAGAGAGAGAGGACAGTGGATAGAGTCTGAAACCAGAGAGAGAGAGAGGACAGTGGATAGAGTCTGAAACCAGAGAGAGAGAGAGGGGAATGACATGCGGAAAGGGGCCACGGGTGGAAGTGAACCCGGGCCTACCGCTCGAGACGAGAGTCTCAATACAACCACTGCGCCACCAGCGCGCCCCCACCCATGATTTTCTTAACTACCATTTTGAAGCATTGGGGTCCAACGTTATGGCCGGTTTGGAACCTGAACACATTAGTGTTGTCACAGCAACAAAAATAGAAGACCTTAGCACCCAGTGTTGGGTCATTTCTTGTTTTTAATTACCAAAATTGGCGGCCAAAGTCCTGCACACTGTCTAAATCGTACTGTACGCACCAAAACTTTCCACATGTATTGACACTGTATAGGCAGTGTTGGCTCTGTTTCTTTGGGCATCTTTTGGGTAAAATCTGACTGACAATCTGCAGATGATCCGCTGATGAGTTATTGATCCGGGAAAGCCAAATCTGTGAATATCTTTATTGTTTCAGAAAACGACGTACTGCTCCATGTCCATGTGTCACGTTGGATTACACCGCTTTAGCCTACTAGCCTACTAGCCAACTGTTTCTTCAAAACAGCACCGTCCTCATTGCCTTGTAAATGACAAGATCCGGTCTCAGAAAATGAAACAACAGGCCTTTCTTTCATTTCTGTTTTCTAGTGATTTTATTTTTTGTTATATGAAATAGAAACTGAAAATCTAATCATTTTTTAAATTTCACCTATCCCTTTTTGACCATGAAACAGAAAAACACCTTGTATTTAAATTTTCATTTTTGTATTTTAAAACAAAAATCAAATAACCACTCGTTTTTTAATACCTGTTTCTGAAAGGAAAATTGAATGACCAAAAGATATACTGACTGTGATAGCTTCCTCTACTCTTTAAAACTACTCACAATGATGAGCTGTCCGAATGTGAGGATGGCCGGTCCGATCCTGATCAGCGTGTTGATGATTGTACGAAACCTAACAGGAAATACAGTCTTCATTGTTAGTGAAGATATAAGAAATATAAACTCAAACACATGGATGAACGGGACACGACACAAATGAGTCCTGATCCAAAAAAAGATGTCCTGTTTTTTTAATAAGAAGAGGTAACAGGTAACACATTCACTCTTTGATACTATCGACATCTCCACAAACCTTTTGATGCTGTCGACCACCCGGATCAGTCTGAGGACTCTCAGGATGAAGACAATGTCGAGGATCTGACGGCTGCTGTATCCCCCCGCTATGACATAAAACATCATGTCACAACACAGAATTATGACATGAACAATCAACAGGTGGATATTTAGAGATTTCTAACATCAGGTTACGTGGCACAAATCATAGAAAGCATCCAGCTTTTTAAAGGGGAACCTTTCATAAAATATACTTTACACATATCCTTTAACTTTACACAGAGATCCAGTTCACTGTGGATCCTTTAACTAAGCAGAGAGATCCAGTTCACTGTAGATCCTTCAACTTTACAGAGAGATCCAGTTCACTGTGGATCCTTTAACTAAGCACAGAGATCCAGTGCACTGTGGATCATTTAACTAAGCACAGAGATCCAGTTCACTGTGGATCTTTTAACTTTACTCAGAGATCCAGTTCACTGTGGATCCTTTAACTAAGCACAGAGATCCAGTTCACTGTAGATCCTTTAACTAAGCACAGAGATCCAGTTCACTGTAGATCCTTTAACTAAGCACAGGGATCCAGTTCACTGTGGATCTTTTAACTTTACTCAGAGATCCAGTTCACTGTGGATCCTTTAACTAAGCACAGGGATCCAGTTCACTGTAGATCCTTTAACTAAGCACAGAGATCCAGTTCACTGTAGATCCTTTAACTAAGCACAGGGATCCAGTTCACTGTAGATCCTTTAACTAAGCACAGAGATCCAGTTCACTGTGGATCCTTTAACTAAGCACAGAGATCCAGTTCACTGTAGATCCTTTAACTTTACACATAGATCCTTTAACTAAGCAGAGATCCAGTTCACTGTGGATCCTTTAACTAAGCACAGAGATCCAGTTCACTGTAGATCTTTTAACTTTACACATAGATCCTTTAACTAAGCAGAGATCCAGTTCACTGTGGATCCTTTAACTAAGCACAGAGATCCAGTTCACTGTGGATCTTTTAACTAAGCACAGAGCTCAAGTTCACTGTGTATCCTTTAACTTTACACAGAGATCCAGTGCACTGTGGATCCTTTAACTTTATAGAGATCCAGTTCATTGTGGATCTTTTAACTTCACTCACAGATCCAGTTCACTGTGGATCCTTTAACTAAGCAGAGATCCAGTTCACTGTGGATCCTTTAACTAAGCACAGAGATCCAGTTCACTGTAGATCTTTTAACTTTACACATAGATCCTTTAACTAAGCAGAGATCCAGTTCACTGTGGATCCTTTAACTAAGCACAGAGATCCAGTTCACTGTGGATCTTTTAACTAAGCACAGAGCTCAAGTTCACTGTGTATCCTTTAACTTTACACAGAGATCCAGTGCACTGTGGATCCTTTAACTTTATAGAGATCCAGTTCATTGTGGATCTTTTAACTTCACTCACAGATCCAGTTCACTGTGGATCCTTTAACTAAGCAGAGATCCAGTTCACTGTGGATCCTTTAACTTTACAAATAGATCCAGTTCACTGTGGATCCTTTAACTAAGCACAGAGATCCAGTTCACTGTAGATCCTTTAACTTTACACAGAGATCCAGTTAGATGTGGATCCTTTAACTTTACACATAGATCCAGTTCACTGTGGATCCTTTAACTTTACTCAGAAATCCAGTTCACTGTAGATCCTTTAACTTTACAGAGATCCAGTTCAATGTGGATCCTTTAGCTTTACACAGAGATCCAGTTCACTGTGGATCCTTTAACTTTACTCAGAGATCCAGTTCACTGTGTATCCTTTAACTTTACACAGAGATCCAGTTCACTGTGGATCCTTTAACTTTACTCAGAGATCCAGTTCATTGTGGATCCTTTAACTTTACTCAGAGAATCAGTTCACTGTGGATCCTTTAACTTAGCACAGAGATCCAATTCACTGTGGATCCTTTAATTTAGCACAGAGATCCAGTTCAGTGTGATTTTTTGTAAGATGTATTTTGGTTTGTAAAAACATCAGAACATTAATAACATGCTTTGGAAACTCATAATTAGAGATGATGGACTGATGGTAAAAATGAAACATCAGAAATGATCATGCCTACTTCAAACAGGAGAGACAGACGGCTGTTTTCAATCTTCATTACTGAAATTGTTTAAATACTTTTCTAACTGTAGTCAATCATTTAATCCTTGAACTGTTTGTATATTTCATTTCACTCTGCTGATTCCAGCTGTGGTATTGGCCAGTTTCAAAGATGCACACTGAATCGGATTCAGACATTTGGAAAGAAATTAACCCAAACACGTACATGATTTAATGGCAGAGTTGATAATTGTAGCGATGAGAGCGGAGACGACAATGATTGTGTCGAACCTAAAAACACAAAACAAACATGTTAGATGGTGATGATGCTGAAAGCTTAACCAGGTGCAGCTTAGGACAGAGACGCACGTTTTATACTGCATCTGCATCGACGAATCAAAGCTTGAGACCAGAACTCCTTTTGGGTTTAAGACTCTGAAACTCTGAAAGCATTTTTATAAAGGAACTATAACTTTTGGACTGCAGCGTTCATTTCGAACCTCCTACGTTACCCAGAATCCTTTGTTGGTTTTGTACAAACCAAAGACCTGAGGTCCCAAACAGGACAGACATCCATACATTTCATGTTACTCCGTTTCCCCGTGATAAGTACATTTCAGTTGTTTTCTCCTGATCTCATCTAGTTGATCTCGTATTCTCGCGATAATAACGCAGCTGTGAAAACAAGTTAATCACAGTCGTTTTGTTGCGTTATCACCGGAGAGTAAGCATTGTTATTCTGCTGACCTTATTCAATTACAGGTAAAAGGTACAAACATTGTGACACTGATAGAGACGCCAATTCTTCCTCACCAGTTCCAGAAGTTGTGTCTGGAGAAAAACGCTCGGGGCTCGAACACGTACAACTTCAGCAGGATCTCCAGCAGGTACAGAGACAGGAACCCCCACTCTGAGTTGGCGATCATTGGGTTTTCCTCGTCCAGACCGATGAACACGGCGTTCACCAGGATGATTAGGTCGTACACGATGACAAACGCCCTGAAACACAGACACACACACTCAAAATAAAACTGCCAATTTTGTGTCTAATCTGACAAATCAGTTCTTTGTCATTCTCATTAATTTTTCTCATCATGATGCATGGAGTCTCCATAAGACCATTTGTACATAACATATGTGTCAATAATGAAACGACTGAAAATGCTTTAATTTCTTATTCTATTTTTCTGTCTAATAAAAATCTGTCCATCTCACCTGTGTTGGACGAGCCAGCAGATGAGGTGGCTGGGTGCTGACAGGTAAAGGGCGGGGCACAGGCTATGGAAGGGGTGTGGCCTGGACTTCAGCGTGATCACCTCGATGTTCAGCAGGTCGGCCAGCTGGACGAATGCCACCCTACCTGTCAATCAACCGACCGAGAGAAAAAATATCAAATCATAGATCATCGTCTTTCTGTTTGTAGAACAAGGGAAAACTCTCAGGTCTTTCCTGATGTGACCACTAGAGGGCAGCATGTTCCATATAAACAGGAATGTTTATCTGCTGCACTCAAGGAAGATTGACATGTTTTTAAACCTGGTGTCTCAAGGCCCTGACACACCAAGGAGACCGCCGGCCATTGATCCGTCTGTGAGCGGCCATCGCCCTAGTCTTTGCGATGTGTCCAGCTCAGTCACAACCCGTCAGCCCCAGTTGGCCTTTTATTGGCCGACTCTACATGTTGAATTGGCGTGAGCAAAACAAGAGAGCCAGTGCACGAGAAGAAATATGGAAGCGCCTCTTCTATTTTTGTTCCACGAATAAAAGATTAAGGGCTGACAATGCCAGCCCCATTTTCAACTTTTTATCAGACATTATTCTCCATTAGAAGTTTATTACGAGTGTTGAGCGACAGCCGTGAGAAAACTGTCTTCTCGTATCACAACAACAGTTTATTTATCTGCGTTCTTCCTCGTCCTCTTCAGGTTTCACCTTTTGGAATGACGATTACAGACTACTGCCCCCTGCTGGCATGGAGAGGTATTGACTCTCACGCATGTGCAGGACGTATGTGGTGGATGGCTGTCGGCTGTAGTCTTTGCGGTGTGTTCAAGTGAAACTTTTGGACGAGACAAAAGGCGTTGTGCTCCGACACCACAGGTGGCCTTCGTTGCCACTAGTTCTTCCCGTCTGCTCAATGTGTCAGGGCCTAAGGGTGAACAGTTACAGCTAATTGTGGATGTCCCTAGTAGATGTGTTCATCCTAACGTCTGCAGCGAGTAAACAGACTGCAACGTCTGCAGCAGGTAAACAGACTGCAACGTCTGCAGCAGGTAAACAGACTGTAACGTCTGCAGCAGGTAAACAGGCTGTAACGTCTGCAGCGGGTAAACAGGCTTTAACGTCTGCAGCGGGTAAACAGACTGTAGCGTCTGCAGCAGGTAAACAGGCTGTAACGTCTGCAGGTAAACAGGCTGTAACGTCTGCAGCTGGTAAACAGACTGTAACGTCTGCAGCGGGTAGGCAGACTGTAACGTCTGCAGCGGGTAAACAGACTGTAACGTCTGCAGCAGGTAAATAGGCTGTAACGTCTGCAGGTAAACAGGCTGTAACGTCTGCAGCTGGTAAACAGACTGTAACGTCTGCAGCGGGTAAACAGACTGTAACGTCTGCAGGTAAACAGACTGTAACGTCTGCAGCGGGTAAACAGACTGTAGCGTCTGCAGCAGGTAAACAGGCTGTAACGTCTGCAGGTAAACAGGCTGTAACGTCTGCAGCTGGTAAACAGACTGTAACGTCTGCAGCGGGTAGGCAGACTGTAACGTCTGCAGCGGGTAAACAGACTGTAACGTCTGCAGCAGGTAAACAGGCTGTAACGTCTGCAGGTAAACAGGCTGTAACGTCTGCAGCTGGTAAACAGACTGTAACGTCTGCAGCGGGTAAACAGACTGTAACGTCTGCAGCGGGTAAACAGACTGTAACGTCTGCAGCGAGTAAACAGACTGTAACGTCTGCAGGTAAACAGACCGTAACGTCTGCAGCAGGTAAACAGACCGTAACGTCTGCAGCGAGTAAACAGACTGTAACGTCTGCAGGTAAACAGACCGTAACGTCTGCAGCAGGTAAACAGACTGTAACGTCTGCAGCGGGTAAACAGACCGTAACGTCTGCAGCAGGTAAACAGACTGTAACGTCTGCAGCGGGACAAGACAAGTATTCAGTCCCAAAATGTATTAATGCTGATTTTATTACTCAGTGTGTGTGTGTGTGTGTGTGTGTGTGTGTGTGTGTGTGTGTGTGTGTGTGTGTGTGTGTGTGTGTGTGTGTGTGTGTGTGTGTGTGTGTGTGTGTGTGTGTGTGTGTGTGTAGTACCGATGCAGCCCTGGTTCTTGTGGTCTGAGACGCTCCACAGCAGCTCTCGGTGGGCGTTGCTGATGTCAGGATGGACCAGTCTAACCACCTGATTCCAGTTCGCCTGGCTGACTACAGGCTCCGCCCCCTCCTGTCTCTGCTCCTGCAGCACTGCGAACGCTCGCACCATCTTGTGCCTTTTAGTCCTGACCAGCTGCCGTACCTCCTCCTGGTGGAGCCAGAGAAAAAGATGGAGAAATCAGAACCCTGTTTGCTAAGCACTTTTGGGTCAGGTCACTTTTGGCCTGACTCGCTGTCATGTCAACATTTTAAAGATTGTTTCTGTGTTTGAACTCCTGAGGTCCGTTTCAGAGAGCAGGTTTAGTTCAAACTCTGAGTCAGTTAACCCTGAAATGAGGGAAACTCTGGGTATTCTGTTTCAGAGGAAGGTCACTCAAACTCAAGAAAGAGGGGTAACTCCAGCCCATTCCAGAGAGGGAGGTAACTTTACCTCTGAGTCAGTTAGTCATCATATTACTGCATATGTCTATCTGTAAATCTCAGTCACTAACCACCTACTTTCCTGGGAGCTCTTGAGCCCCCTCCCGACCGGATTCTTGATGGACGGCTTCCTCCCCCCACCCCCTTGCTCCCTATCCCTCTTCCTGCATCTTATCCCATCTCTCCCCCTATCCCTTTCCAAGCCCGGCGCAGTCTAGGCCTGTGAAGGCAGTTTCGTCATGAGCTGGGGATCCGGCTGAAGAAACTGCTAGACCTGTCTGCTGCCTTCGACACAGTCACCCATCAACTCCTCCTATCCATGCTCTCTGAACAGCTCAGGAACTGCCCTCTGCTGGTTCGTGTCCTACCTCTCTGGGCGATACTTTAGAGTGTCGTGGAAGGGAGAAGTGTCCAAAGCTCACAGCTTATCCACAGGGGTACCTCAAGGGTCAGTGCTTGGTCCCCTTCTCTTCTCCATATACACTAGCTCACTTGGTTCAATAATCCACTCTCATGACTTCTCATACCACTGCTATGCTGACGATACCCAGCTCTTCCTGTCATTCCCACCAGACGATGTTACAGTCTCTACAAGAATCTCATCACGCCTTGCTGATATCTCTGAATGGATGAATGAACGCCACCTTCGACTCAATCTTTCAAAGACTGAGCTCCTTGTCATCCCAGCCAGTCCCTCTATGCAACCACAGATCAATATCCAGCTTGGAACAACCAAACTCATACCCACAAAATCTGCAGGAACCTGGGTGTCATGATTGATGACCAGCTAACTTTTAAGGTTCAAGTAGCCTCGATTGCCAGGTCATGTGGATTTGCCCTGAACAACATCAAGAAGATCAGACCTTACCTGTCAGAACACGCTACACAGCTCCTGGTACAGGCTCTTGTGATATCACACATCAACTATTGCAACTCTCTACTGGCAGGTCTTCCTACATGCACTATCAAACCCCTGCAGATGATACAAAATGCAACAGCACGACTGGTCTTCAAGCTTCCTAAAAGAGCACATGTCACTCCGCTGTTTATCTCCTTACACTGGCTCCCAGTTACTGCTCGCATCAAATTTAAAACTCTGCTGCTTGCTTACAAAACAGCGACAAAAACGTCTCCTTGCCTAAACTCTCTGATCCAGGTCTACACTCCCTCCCCCCACTACGCTCTGCCAATGAAAGGCGTCCAACCTTCATAACAGGGTCCTAAGAAGCTGATCCGGTGGTGGAATGAACTTCCAAACTCCATTCGATCTGCAGAGTCCCTCTGCACCTTTAAGAAAAAGCTAAAGACCCAGCTCTTTCATGAATACCTATTAACTTAATGATGATGGTCTCCATATTATTGATGATGATGATGGTAATGACGATTGTTTTTGTTTGATAACGATGACTTATAAGATGGTTTCTATACTGATTAGAGCTCTCAAGAACTGCCCTCAATGTTGTGCTTTGCCTCTGGTCACTTCCTGTCAGCACCTGTGTGTCCAATCGGACTCAAAGCTGATCGTTTGCTCTTACTCACATTGTTCCCTTTTTTCTAGATCCTTGCTTGTGTTGTTCTTACTCTCTGATGTATGTTGCTTTGGATAAAAGTGTCTGCTAAGTGAATTGTAGAATTGTAGGTGAGAGGACATTTAGTCTGTGTGTGTGAATACAGCTTTATGTTGGGGAGAAAGTTACATTCAAATACACTCTGAATATATCAATATATTTATCATTTTTAACAACAACTTCCTCCCTCCCAGCCGTCTAGGCTTGTGTGTGTGTGTCTGTGTGTGTGTGTCTGTGTCAGACTGTGGTACCTTCAGGTACTTCTTGTAGTTGTTGTAGACAACGGCGAGGAACACGGACATGAAGATGTAGGTGTTGATGAGGATGTAAAGGATGAAGAAGATAGCATAGAAGTAGCTGGCGTTGTACGCTGGCATCCTGCCAATGAGAAGAGATATCAATAATCAACATTTCTGACTCTGCTCAAAAGTGGACCATGAAACCAGGTGTGAAGTCTGAGACGTAAAAACAGACAGGCGGTCAAATACAGACTAAAATATTAATTCTTCGAAGAAAGGGTCATTAAACTTCAGACGTCTCCAATCTGTGAAGACAGCGTCATTCTTCTCTGCTTTTTCAGAAACAAAATGATCTGAAAATACATCAAAGACATGTTTTTCAGAATAAAAGGTCTTACATGACGTCAGGACTGTTGGCCGTTGTGACGAGGACGTAAAGGTCAAAGACGATCTCCATGTAGTTAGTGAAGTATGGAGCTCCGTCTGTCGTCTTCAGACCTCTAAGAAGACATGTTAAATAAACACACACACACACACACACTTATCAAACACTGTTTACCCAAGTTAAACTCTAACTCATCATCAATGTCCGTGTCCTCAGCCTCCAGACGTTACAGTCTGTTTACCTGCTGCAGACGCTACAGTCTGTTTACCTGCAGACGTTACAGTCTGTTTACCTGCTGCAGACGCTACAGTCTGTTTACCTGCAGACATTACAGTCTGTTTACCTGCTGCAGACATTACAGTCTGTTTACCTGCAGACATTACAGTCTGTTTACCTGCTGCAGACATTACAGTCTGCTGCAGACCTTACAGCCTGTTTACCTGCTGCAGACATTACAGCCCGTTTACCTGCTGTAGTCTGTTTACCTGCAGACGTTACAGTCTGTTTACCTGCTGCAGTCTGTTTACCTGCAGACGTTACAGTCTGTTTACCTGCAGACGTTACAGCCTGTTTACTCGCTGCAGATGTTACAGTCTGTTTACCCGCTGCAGACGTTACAGCCTGTTTACCCGCTGCAGACGTTACAGTCTGTTTACCCGCTGCAGACGTTACAGTCTGTTTACCCGCTGCAGACGTTACAGCCTGTTTACCCGCTGCAGACGTTACAGTCTGTTTACCTGCTGCAGACGTTACAGCCTGTTTACCTGCTGCAGACATTACAGTCCGTTTACCTGCAGACGTTACAGTCTGTTTACCTGCAGACGTTACAGTCCATTTACCTGCTGCAGACATTACAGTCTGCTGCAGACGTTACAGCCTGTTTACCTGCTGCAGTCTGTTTACCTGCAGACGTTACAGCCTGTTTACCTGCTGCAGACATTACAGCCTGTTTACCTGCTGCAGTCTGTTTACCTGCAGACGTTACAGTCTGTTTACCTGCTGCAGTCTGTTTACCTGCAGACGTTACAGTCTGTTTACCTGCTGCAGTCTGTTTACCTGCAGACGTTACAGTCTGTTTACCTGCTGCAGTCTGTTTACCTGCAGACGTTACAGTCTGTTTACCTGCAGACGTTACAGTCTGTTTACCTGCTGCAGTCTGTTTACCTGCAGACGTTACAGTCTGTTTACCTGCAGACGTTACAGTCTGTTTACCTGCAGACGTTACAGTCTGTTTACCTGCTGCAGTCTGTTTACCTGCAGACGTTACAGTCTGTTTACCTGCAGACGTTACAGCCTGTTTACCTGCTGCAGACATTACAGCCTGTTTACCTGCTGCAGTCTGTTTACCTGCAGACGTTACAGTCTGTTTACCTGCTGCAGTCTGTTTACCTGCAGACGTTACAGTCTGTTTACCTGCAGACGTTACAGTCTGTTTACCTGCTGCAGACGTTACCGCCTGTTTACCTGCTGCAGACGTTACAGCCTGTTTACCTGCTGCAGACATTACAGTCCGTTTACCTGCAGACGTTACAGTCTGTTTACCTGCAGACGTTACAGTCCATTTACCTGCTGCAGACATTACAGTCTGCTGCAGACGTTACAGCCTGTTTACCTGCTGCAGTCTGTTTACCTGCAGACGTTACAGCCTGTTTACCTGCTGCAGACATTACAGCCTGTTTACCTGCTGCAGTCTGTTTACCTGCAGACGTTACAGTCTGTTTACCTGCTGCAGTCTGTTTACCTGCAGACGTTACAGTCTGTTTACCTGCTGCAATCTGTTTACCTGCAGACGTTACAGTCTGTTTACCTGCTGCAGTCTGTTTACCTGCAGACGTTACAGTCTGTTTACCTGCAGACGTTACAGTCTGTTTACCTGCTGCAGTCTGTTTACCTGCAGACGTTACAGTCTGTTTACCTGCAGACGTTACAGTATGTTTACCTGCAGACGTTACAGTCTGTTTACCTGCAGACGTTACAGTCTGTTTACCTGCTGCAGTCTGTTTACCTGCAGACGTTACAGTCTGTTTACCTGCTGCAGTCTGTTTACCTGCAGACGTTACAGTCTGTTTATCTGCAGACGTTACAGCCTGTTTACCTGCTGCAGACATTACAGCCTGTTTACCTGCTGCAGTCTGTTTACCTGCAGACGTTACAGTCTGTTTACCTGCTGCAGTCTGTTTACCTGCAGACGTTACAGTCTGTTTACCTGCAGACGTTACAGTCTGTTTACCTGCAGACGTTACAGTCTGTTTACCTGCTGCAGACGTTACAGTCTGTTTACCTGCAGACGTTACAGTCTGTTTACCTGCTGCAGACGTTACAGTCTGTTTACCTGCAGACATTACAGTCTGTTTACCGGCTGCAGACGTCAGAGTGAAGGAAGACAAACTGCGTACCTTTCGAGTACAGAAAGGTTAGACTGTAAACGTGTTCTCACCGTTTTCCGAGCAGTTTGAGCGCCATGAGGGAGAAGATGAGGACGCTGAACATGAAGAGCAGGAAGACGTAGAAGATCTGAGGCAGAGCGTTCCGGATGCTTCTGAACGCTCTGCGGAGCTGAACACAAACAACAGAGACAGAGATTGAGAAGGGTCTGAAGCTGGTCATCCTCCCTGAGGACGCACGCACGCACGCACGCACGCACGCACGCACGCACGCACGCACGCACGCACGCACGCACGCACGCACGCACGCACGCACGCACACCCTTATGGGACTCATAAAAAAATAAAAGAAGGTAAACTTGACTGCAGCCTCAGGCAGGTAAGACATGTGAGACAGGTGAGACAGGTGGTCGTTACCTGCCGCCCCTCTGTGACGTTGACCAATAGCAGCGGGCGCAGGACTCTGGACCAGCGGACACCGTAACAGCTAGCAGCTTTCAGCGCTCCGTAGATGATGATGTCGACCAGAGTAAGCTGGAAGACAAAAAAAACATTTAAATTCTGTTTTAATTAAGTTCAAAGGTTTTAAAAAGGAAAAAGGATAAATATTGAGTTAGTGACGTTTAAGGCATGTTCGTCACCACGGCAACACAACTGGAAATCCTCGGCACCCATTACTAGGAATTGCACACTGTTTACGTTGCACAAACGTGTTGCCAATGTTAGCTAATTAACATCACAGTGCACCCTGCTAACCAGCTAGCTTCACTCATTTTCTAAAAGCTCTAAATATGGTCACTACTTCCTCCAAAATCCAAGATGGCAGCAGCCAAGCTGAAGGTTTCAGATGATAGTCAGCCACTCATTAAGTGTCATGGTGGCCCCGCCCACTTATTTACAGTCTAGAGATGCTCGCTTGTGTTGTTGGTACTCTCTGATGTTCGTCGCTTTGGAAAAAAAGCGTCTGATGAATGATTTGTAAACAGAAGTTTAAATTCAAACCAGTCGAAGAATCATCAAAACGCTTACATTAAAAACTGAACACGACATCCAACAGTTAAGAACATTATTACTCTGCAGGTAAACAAGTGTGATTAACCATAGCAGAGCTAGCTCCATTAGCCTTCAGTCCTCTCATGTTAGCGTTAGCGTTATTGTGTTGATGTGGTCACAAGTTTCTCCTTCTGGGGGTCAGAGGTCGGTTTACCTGCCCTGCCTCTACGAGATCCATCCATCCACTGTGCCCGTTTACATCCAGGCAGTAGAAAGATTAACACGAGTTACAGCCCCGTCTAGTGGCAGGCAGCTGTATTACAGCTTAGACACAACGTTTAACCCATGGTGGACCGTCATCAATACAAATCTGAAGTTTTCATTCTGGTATCAACTAGTGACGGTGACGATGTTGAATTGTTAGTTGACTCATCATGCACATCTCTCGTCTGCACAAAACGACCTTCCTGTGGTTATTCATTATCTCATGAAGTTTCCTGTTCGCTGAGATCCTGACGGGAAACATCTTCACATTTCATCAACTTTATTCTAACAACCTGATCTCATGCTCTGTCTGTCATAATGAAAGATTTCATCATATTCTTTCATGTATACTGAGCTGATTGGTCGCCTCAGTCTGTCAGTCACCAGGAAGTGTTCCTGCTGTAAACGTGCTGACGAGGCGACATGTCCGACTAAAGGTTGTTTCTCAACAACAGCAGAAAGTCTCCTCAGCACATTCTGAGTGAGCAGCTCTCTGACAGGAAGTCAAATCAGCAAACAGAGTCCAAAAACCAGGAAGTGAACTGAGTTTAGACAAGTCACCAACCGTCACCAGGAAACGTCGGGGGGTTAGGGTTATCATTAGGGCTGGGCAACGATTAAAAGTTTTAATCGCGTTAATCGCATGAGTTTCTGTGATTAATCACGATTAATCGCATTGTTATACGCAAAATCCAATAATTAATTAAAAAGTAGTGTATAGCGCACTTTTATTGTACTTCTCAACTTAAACAATGTAATCAAAGCAAATAAATACAAAACTAATGCTTATTGCATTCGTTGCAGTCTGGACGCAGAGTGGTGTGGGTCTCCTCTCTGCTCTCTGACTGCAGCTGGGTCTGCTGCGCGAGCCTAGACTGACAGCTTGAGTACTTTTGGAAGGGGGAGGGGCTCACGGCAGCACCCGCAAAAATAACGTGTTAACGTGCCCAGCCCTAGTTATTATCATTATTTACTGAATTGAAATCCATTCTCTAGAGAGTAGATGTCGGCTCACATCTATACTGGATCAACGCCACCAGCATGAAGGCCCGTTCACACCAGAGAGCACACAAGTGTTGAATACATGAATAAGCCCCTCCCACCATGCTGTGAAAATTAATAAGCCCCTCCCACCATGCTGTGAAAAATGAATAAGCCCCTCCCACCATGCTGTGAAAATGAATAAGCTCTTCCCACCATGCTGTGAAAATGGATAAGCCCCTCCCACCATGCTGTGAAATTAATAAGCCCCTCCCACCATGCTGTAAAAAATGAATAAGCCCCTCCACCATGCTGTGAAAATGAATAAGCTCTTCCCACCATGCTGTGAAAAATGAATAAGCCCCTCCCACCATGCTGTGAAATTAATAAGCCCCTCCCACCATGCTGTGAAAAATGAATAAGCCCCTCCCACCATGCTGTGAAAATGAATAAGCTCTTCCCACCATGCTGTGAAAAATGAATAAGCCCCTCCCACCATGCTGTGAAAAATGAATAAGCCCCTCCCACCATGCTGTGAAAAATGAATAAGCCCCTCCCACCATGCTGTGAAAATGAATAAGCTCTTCCCACCATGCTGTGAAAAATGAATAAGCCCCTCCCACCATGCTGTGAAAAATGAATAAGCCCCTCCCACCATGCTGTGAAAATGAATAAGCTCTTCCCACCATGCTGTGAAAAATGAATAAGCCCCTCCTACCATGAGGATAGCAATGATGCAGATGTTTTTGGGGTCTTTCCAGAACTTGTCTCGGGGGATCACTTTGGCGTAGTGAACGAGTCGGACGGTGAAGGCGAGCAGACAGAGCAGCTCGACCAACATGGTCACCTGAACACACCAAATACAACACACGCTGTTAGGGGGACTGTTGGTCCCTGGATTTGGATTAAACAGGACTAAATTGGATTAAACTGGACTAAACAGGACTAAACTGGATTAAACTGTATTAAACAGGACTAAACTGGATTAAACAGGACTAAACTAGACTAAACTGGATTAAAGTGGATTAAACAGGACTAAACTGGATTAAACAGGACTAAACAGGACCAAACAGGACTAAACTGGATTAAACAGGACTAAATTGGATTAAACTGGACTAAACAGGACTAAACTGGATTAAACTGTATTAAACAGGACTAAACTGGATTAAACAGGACTAAACAGGACCAAACAGGACTAAACTGGATTAAACAGGACTAAACTGGATTAAACAGGACTAAACTAGACTAAACTGGATTAAACAGGACTAAACTAGACTAAACTGGATTAAACAGGACTAAACTAGACTAAACTGGATTAAAGTAGATTAAACAGGACTAAACTGGATTAAACAGGACTAAACAGGACCAAACAGGACTAAACTGGATTAAACAGGACTAAACTGGATTAAACAGGACTAAACTGGATTAAACAGGACTAAACTAGACTAAACTGGATTAAACAGGACTAAACTGGATTAAACAGGACTAAACAGGACCAAACAGGACTAAACTGGATTAAACAGGACTAAACTGGATTAAACAGGACCAAACAGGACTAAACTGGATTAAACAGGACTAAACTAGACTAAACAGGATTAAACTGTATTAAACAGGACTAAACTGGATTAAACAGGACCAAACTGGATTAAAGTGGATTAAACAGGACTAAACTGGATTCACTCGCTTTCTTGTGTGACTTGAAACAGTTAGCACTTAGCATCGTACGCTGCTTGTAGACATTTTTTTTTCAAGATTTAACGTAGACAGTTTATTCCTTCACATAGCAACAGAAAAACAGCGTTTGAGAATATGACAGCTGCGGCCATTTTACCCAGAGAGGCAGAGGAACGACGGCCGGCTCCTCGAAGATGGCGAGGGACAGATCGACCAGAATGAAGAAGAAGAGGAGAACCTGAAGAACCCAATGATTGTAGAGGAGATACAACCTGAAAACACACACGCACAATGTATCAACTAAGAGAGGGAGGGGGGCAGGGGGGTAAACTCGCCCACTCACTCCTTTGCGCCGTTATCAGCCGCAACATGATACAAAGTTTGCCCCACACACACAAATAAAAACAGTACCGGTAGGTTTAGCTAGGTTATTTAGCCATGAGCGACGACTCCGTAAGCAGCAATGGCACGTGTGCCACGGAAACAAATAACCATGGTTATACGAGCAGGGTATGTCTGTCTGTAAATGGCTCAGTGCACATGTGTGTGGGTGGGGGGAGCGAGTGAGGAAAGAGAGAACAAGGCGAGTGTGTGTGTTCGGCAGGTGTGTGCGAGAGGCTCATAGGTTTATAGGTTATAGGTTTGGTGATGTAGTACTGTATTCCACACAGTCGTTAGACTTTTTCAAACGGGAGGGCAGACACTATGCACATTTCTAACACACTTTGTACTCAAATGTCGAGGTTTATAGTTGAAAAAAAGTGGTTTTAGGATTTAGTTACTCTTTAATAAAAAACTGAGAACTAAAAGGGGCTGAACATAGAAACCGTGTCACCATGTGGATGGGGCGGGGCTTACTTAGTGATTGGGGTTTATTTAGTGAAGCACCATGCTTCATAAAATGTAACAACAATAAAACCATAAAAGAAGAACAGAGAACAGAACTACATCACGGAGCAGCGGCCCAAAGAGGCGGAGCCACTGATTCATGGTCACCTTTACTTTACAGTCTGACTCAAAGACAACAAGTCGTCCCCCATCAGAGGACCTGGGGGGGGTCCCATCAGAGGACCTGGGGGGTCTACAGGTGGGTTAGGGTTAAGAGAGTAGAAGTTAAAAAGGTGTGTTTAGATCAGAAGTCTGTAGAGCGAAACCTGAACATACGAGGTTCTAGAGGCTTCTGATCTGTGATTGGCTCAGTGTTTGAACAGGAAGTGGTCACCTGACAGCCTGAGGCGACGTGTCAAAGAAGATGTTCCTGTTGAACTGAGCGTCTGACACGTAGACCGAGGCCAGGTCGAAATCCTGAAACACAAAAACGTTTCCTTTAGATCCCTGAAACATGTCGGAGCGAGTCGTCTGCAAAACACAAAAACATTTCACAAAAACAAAAAAACATTTATGATTTGAAATAAACGAGAACACGCAGCACGACTACAAACCGTTACGTCTTTTAAAGTCACTAAACAAAAACTTCAACCCTGAACACGTCACTGAGAAAACTTTAAATCATTAAAATATCAAACGGAACCATCAGAGGTCATCACAAGTCATCAAAGGTCATCACAAGTCATCAAAGGTCATCACAAGACATCAAAGGTCATCACAAGTCATCAAAGGTCATCACAAGACATCAAAGGTCATCACAAGTCATCAAAGGTCATCACAGGTCATCACAAGACATCAAAGGTCATCACAAGTCATCCAAGGTCATCACAAGTCATCAAAGGTCATCACAGGTCATCACAAGTCATCAAAGGTCATCACAAGACATCAAAGGTCATCACAAGTCATCAAAGGTCATCACAGGTCATCACAAGACATCAAAGGTCATCACAAGTCATCAAAGGTCATCACAAGACATCAAATGTCATCACAAGACATCAAAGGTCATCACAAGTCATCAAAGGTCATCACAGGTCATCACAAGTCATCAAAGGTCATCACAAGACATCAAATGTCATCACAAGACATCAAAGGTCATCACAAGTCATCAAAGGTCATCACAGGTCATCACAAGTCATCAAAGGTCATCACAGGTCATCACAAGACATCAAAGGTCATCACAAGTCATCCAAGGTCATCACAAGTCATCAAAGGTCATCACAGGTCATCACAAGACATCAAAGGTCATCACAAGTCATCAAAGGTCATCACAAGACATCAAATGTCATCACAAGACATCAAAGGTCATCACAAGTCATCAAAGGTCATCACAGGTCATCACAAGTCATCAAAGGTCATCACAAGACATCAAAGGTCATCACAAGACATCAGAGGTCATCACAAGTCATCAAAGGTCATCACAAGTCATCAAAGGTCATCACAAGACATCAAATGTCATCACAAGACATCAAAGGTCATCACAAGTCATCAAAGGTCATCACAAGTCATCAAAGGTCATCACAAGACATCAGAGGTCATCACAAGACATCAAAGGTCATCACAAGACATCAAATGTCATCACAAGACATCAAAGGTCATCACAAGTCATCAAAGGTCATCACAAGTCATCACAAGACATCAAAGGTCATCACAAGTCATCAAAGGTCATCACAAGTCATCAAAGGTCATCACAAGTCATCACAAGTCATCAAAGGTCATCACAAGTCATCAAAGGTCATCACAAGACATCAAAGGTCATCACAAGTCATCAAAGGTCATCACAAGTCATCAAAGGTCATCAAAGGTCATCACAAGTCATCAAAGGTCATCACAAGTCATCAAAGGTCATCACAAGACATCACAAGTCATCAAAGGTCATCACAAGACATCAAAGGTCATCACAAATCATCAAAGGTCATCACAAGTCATCAAAGGTCATCACAAGTCATCAAAGGTCATCACAAATCATCAAAGGTCATCACAAGTCATCAAAGGTCATCACAAGACATCAAAGGTCATCACAAGTCATCAAAGGTCATCACAAGACATCAAAGGTCATCACAAGTCATCAAAGGTCATCACAAGTCATCAAAGGTCATCACAAGTCATCACAAGTCATCAAAGGTCATCACAAGTCATCAAAGGTCATCACAAGACATCAAAGGTCATCACAAGTCATCAAAGGTCATCACAAGACATCAAAGGTCATCACAAGACATCAAAGGTCATCACAAGTCATCACAAGTCATCAAAGGTCATCACAAGTCATCACAAGACATCAAAGGTCATCACAAGTCATCAAAGGTCATCACAAGTCATCCAAGGTCATCACAAGTCATCACAAGTCATCAAAGGTCATCACAAGTCATCACAAGATATCAAAGGTCATCACAAGTCATCAAAGGTCATCACAAGTCATCACAAGACATCAAAGGTCATCACAAGTCATCCAAGGTCATCACAAGTCATCACAAGTCATCAAAGGTCATCACAAGACATCAAAGGTCATCACAAGTCATCACAAGTCATCCAAGGTCATCACAAGTCATCCAAGGTCATCACAAGACATCAAAGGTCATCACAAGACATCAAAGGTCATCACAAATCATCAAAGGTCATCACAAGTCATCAAAGGTTATCACAAGACATCAAAGGTCATCACAAATCATCAAAGGTCATCACAAGACATCAAAGGTCATCACAAGTCATCACAAGACATCAAAGGTCATCACAAGTCATCCAAGGTCATCACAAGACATCAAAGGTCATCACAAGACATCAAAGGTCATCACAAGTCATCAAAGGTCATCACAAATCATCAAAGGTCATCACAAGTCATCAAAGGTCATCACAAGTCATCAAAGGTCATCAAAGGTCATCACAAGTCATCAAAGGTCATCACAAGTCATCAAAGGTCATCACAAGACATCACAAGTCATCAAAGGTCATCACAAGACATCAAAGGTCATCACAAATCATCAAAGGTCATCACAAGTCATCAAAGGTCATCACAAGTCATCAAAGGTCATCACAAGACATCAAAGGTCATCACAAATCATCAAAGGTCATCACAAGTCATCAAAGGTCATCACAAATCATCAAAGGTCATCACAAGTCATCAAAGGTCATCACAAGTCATCAAAGGTCATCACAAGACATCAAAGGTCATCACAAGTCATCAAAGGTCATCACAAGACATCACAAGTCATCAAAGGTTAAGCTCATTAATGAGCAAAAAATGGTGGAGGAACGGAAAACCAGGAGGCCCCCAATGTACCGATAACTGTAGACATGTATGTATATATGAAACTGTCTGGAGTGGCATGTGTACATGTGCACAGTGTGCATGTGCATGCGCCTGTGACTGTAGGAGTGAGTGTGTGTGTACTGTAGCACGGAGAAGTTAAATGTTGTTTTTTTTTGCTCATTTATAATTACTGTTTTTATGTTGTTTTCAATGTATTGTCCATGCAGCAATTTCCCAGCATCCTAGACAAATTTCTCCCTAGGGAGACGAATAAAGTAACCTTGACTTTGAGGTCATCACAAGTCATCACAAGTCATCAAAGGTCATCAAAGGTCATCACAAGTCATCAAAGGTCCATCACTGTACTGTATATGCACAGAGAGAGAGAGAGAGAGAGAGAGAGAGAGAGAGAGAAAGAGAGAAGCTCAAGGTGTCAGTTCCCCCAGTAGTCTAAGCCTATAGCAGCATGTGACATTAAATATAAACATATATGAGTGCCCTCTAGTGGACACATTGTTCATTGTCCAGAAAGGAAGGAGAGCTCTAAATAGCACTTTACGTTAGCGACTTTTCGTTAGCCTGTCAGTGGTCTCTGCGTCGCACGTTAAAATAACAAAGAATGTATCGATTTCATTGTTCTGGCAGGCCGTCAAAAACAACGATCTTGAGGAGCCTAAGAGAACTCAGGAGCTCCCAGGAAAGTAGGTGGTTAGTGACTGATGTTTTAAGTCTATTCTTAAAAATACAGACTGTGTCTGCCTCCCGGACCCCGGCTGGAAGACGATTCCGGAGGAGAGGAGCCAGATAACTGAAGGCTCTACCTCCCATAGTACATTTAGAGACTGTAGGTACCACGAGCAGGCCTGATAACTGAAGGCTCTACCTCCCATAGTACATTTAGAGACTGTAGGTACCACGAGCAGGACTGATAACTGAAGGCTCTTCCTCCCATAATACATTTAGAGACTGTACCACGAGCAGGCCTGATAACTGAAGGCTCTACCTCCCATAGTACATTTAGAGACTGTAGGTACCACGAGCAGGACTGATAACTGAAGGCTCTACCTCCCATAGTACATTTAGAGACTGTAGGTACCACGAGCAGGACTGATAACTGAAGGCTCTTCCTCCCATAATACATTTAGAGACTGTACCACAAGCAGGCCTGATAACTGAAGGCTCTACCTCCCGTAGTACATTTAGAGACTGTAGGTACCAAGAGCAGGCCTGATAACTGAAGGCTCTATCTCCCGTAGTACATTTAGAGACTGTAGGTACCATGAGCAGGCCTGATAACTGAAGGCTCTACCTCCCATAGTACATTTAGAAACCGTAGGTACCACGAACAGGCCTGATAACTGAAGGCTCTACCTCCCATAGTACATTTAGAGACTGTACAACGAGCAGGCCTCATGACTGAAGGCTCTACCTCCCATAGTACATTTAGAGACTGTAGGTACCACGAGCAGCCCTGATAACTGAAGGCTCTACCTCCCGTAGTACATTTAGAGACTGTAGGTACCACGAACAGGCCTGATAACTGAAGGCTCTACCTCCCGTAGTACATTTAGAGACCGTAGGTACCACGAGCAGGCCTGATAAATGAAGGCTCTACCTCCCGTAGTACATTTAGAGACTGTACCACGAGCAGGCCTGATAACTGAAGGCTCTAACTCCCATAGTACATTTAGAGACTGTACCACGAGCAGACCTGATAACTGAAGGCTCCACCTCCCGTAGTACATTTAGAGACTGTACCACGAGCAGGCCTGATAACTGAAGGCTCTACCTCCCGTAGTAAATTTAGAGACTGTACCACGAACAGGCCTGATAACTGAAGGCTCTACCTCCCATAGTACATTTAGAGACCGTAGGTACCACGAGCAGGCCTAATAACTGAAGGCTCTACCTCCCGTAGTACATTTAGAGACTGTACCACGAACAGGCCTGATAACTGAAGGCTCTACCTCCCGTAGTACATTTAGAGACTGTACCACGAGCAGGCCTGATAACTGAAGGCTCTACCTCCCGTAGTACATTTAGAGACTGTACCACGAACAGACCTG